CGCACAAGCCGCTGGCTTTTGCCTGCGGGAAGCAGAGCCCGGGTGTGATACGCTGCGGGCACAACGAGGTGCAAGCCCGCTCTGAGCAGGGCTGGGGTGCCCTGAATCTCCTCGGGCTCTGCCCTGGGCCTGGAGAGCCCTGGCTGGAGGGAGGCAGAGAGCTGTGCCCGCTGTCAGAGAGGTTCTTGGGGAGTGTGGATTTTGTGACCTCTCTCCCCAACACCCTGGGGTGTTTTGCAGACATACACCGAGGAGGACAGACTCATCGTCACCCAGCTGCCTTTCCCCACCACGCTGGTGGATTTCTGGGCTCTGGTCTGGGATTACACATGCACGTCGGTGGTTGTGCTGAACCAGCTTGAGGAGCTGGACAAGGTCAGTAGCCCATGTGCAGCCCTTCCCTCTCCTGTGGGGGTGGGCAGTGTGCTTTCTGCCTTTGACCCCAAGCAGCTCTTCCCAGGAGAGCCCTGCTTGCTGCAGGAACCCTTTGGAAGCTTCTGGGCTGCACCTGGCAGAGCTGTGAGGGACACTCCCAGTACTCTTGGCACTACAGCAATGGGGTGTCCCCAGTCTGACAGCAAGGGAACATCCCTTGGCTTTTGCTTACCCTTGCCCAGGTGTCCTCTTCACAGGAGTGTTTGGCACACTGTGGCTTATGGGCCAGTGTGAGCACACCCGTGTGGGTGCTGGGCTCTGCCATGAGTGCAGGCTGGGGCTGTGTGTGACCATGTGTGTGTCTCTCCCCTAGACTTACGTGGACTTCTGGCCCACCCAGGCTGAAGCTACCTATGGGCGTTTCCATGTCCACCTGATCTCAGAGGAGCCTGGAGCTGGCTTCACAGCCTGGACACTTGCTGTCACCAACAGACAGCAGGTGGGCTCTTTGCACAGAGATGGAGAAGTCATTTGAGAACAGCCTTTGCGAGAGCTGGGAGGACTAGCCAGGTGCCAGCATCAGGCAGCTTTGATTTGGAGTCCAAGTCACAGCTAAGAGTGGCAGAGGTCATAGTGATCAGAAGGATCTCGTGGGGTCCTGGAAGGGCACAGGCCAGAGCAGAACCTTTCACCTCAGGAAAGAGGTTAGTCCCAAGAGAGTGAGGCTGCAGGCAGTGGTACATTTTTGTACCTTTCTAACTTGGAGGACAGCAGCCATAGGTCTGTGCATCTTGGTATTGACTCGTGGATGGGTACAGCTGTTACAGGTAGCTGGGCACTGCACTGGCATCAGTCTGAGATGCACATCGTGCTCAGCTGTTACCTTGTTCTGTCTGTCTGCCAATCTCAGAACACTAATTGGAGAAGAGCAAGGTCTGGGACTGGGCCATCCCACTGTGGAGCTGCTCCCTTGATCCAGTGTGCCTGACACATGCTGTCCCTCCCTTCCCTCCATGATGCCAATGGGTTTGTTCTCTCCCCAACCCACTGTCTTTCTTCCTGACTAGCCCAAGAAGTCTGCACTGGAAGTCCGGTTCTGGCAACTGAAGGACTGGCCTCTGCAGCAGCACCTTCCCCCGTACCCTGCCACCATAATCAGCCTGCTAGGGAAGGTGGAGACACACCGTCGGCAGAGCCAAGACGGACATATCCTCGTCACCTGCTCGTAAGTGATGCCTCTTAGAGGAGCAGCTGTGGCACAGCACAAGGTCAGCCCAGGCTGCATCAGTGACCTTGGGCAACAGCAGCATCCTCAGCTCAGGTGCAGGGTGGACACATGGACGTGAATTCACCTGTGTTCAGGAAGGAAGGCTTTCCTGTGGAGGCTGGCTGGGGGCAGGATCTGTGGACAAGATCATCCTGAGAGCCCGCGAGTCTAGTGGGAAACCTCAGAGGCTCAGCCCTGCCAGGTGATCTCAGAGTAAGTGATGCTCCTCTTGCTCTCTTCCACAGGGATGGTGCCAGCCGGAGCGGGATTTTCTGTGCTGCTAGTTTCCTGTGTGAGCAGATCCAAAGCGAGGGGCTGGTGGATGTATCCCAGGCTGTGAGGATGCTGAAAAAGCGGCGGAGACAGCTCATTAAAGACGTGGTAGGTGCTGAATTCAAACCCAGCCAGGATGGCAACACCAGAGCAAAAGCCATAGCCTGAACTGTCCTAGTGCTGCACTAGCACCTACATGCTCAGATCATCCAGAGGACAGCAGGGGCAGAAGAGAGCTCTAAAAACCCTGTTTTCTGCTGTTGGGACATACACAGTCTCTCAGGGGTAGGTTCTGCAGAACCAGATAGGCACTGAAGTATCCTGTGGGATGAGTTGCCCCTTTCTTGTCCACCCTGCCTGCTCAGCAGGGGCTACATGGGTGAGTGCACCCAGTCTGGATGCCAGAAGCAATCATAGGTTGAGAACCCCAGATGGGAGTGAGCAGCAGACACGTCATGCCACGGACACTAGCTCTCCTCCTGAGACCAGCTGGCTCCAGCTTTTGGTATCCCAACTCTCAGCTACTGGAGCACATGCCTGTGTTTCCTCAGTCAGGAAAGGTGGGTTCTGACTGGGAGGAGGAGAGTGGGCTGTATTACCCCTGGCTTGCTTAGGAAGCTGTTGGTGAAATGAGGCTGCCCTTCCATTGTAGGTGTTGGGGTACCAGGTACTCATGTGCATCCTTCTGTCCACAGGAGCAGTATGGGCTCTGCTACGAACTAGCCCTCAGTTACCTGAACTCATTTGAAACCTATGGGAATTTCAAGTAGAGGCATGGTTGCAGCCCTTCTCTGCCAGGACTTCGACTTGTTTGGCAGTCCACCATCAATAACAGTGGCAAACAGAGGAGAGAAGATGGGTGTGCACAGCCCAAAGACGCTTTACTCCCCCTGAAAAGCCACCTGAAGGGTCCTCTGCAGCTGGAGAGCACAGGCTGGTCTATCTCTGAATTGTGGTCAGGCTTTGAAGCTGGAACCTAGCCCTTTGTCCCAAGTTTGCACAGGGACTTACTTGGAATCACAGCCCAAGAATACAAATCAGAGCAGGGGCACCAGGATTTGCCCTGTCTGTGCCAGGGATGGAAAGATCCCCAGCTGGCCTATCCAGGCTCCCTTGTCCCTTCAGTTAGCCCCAAGGAAAGGGGGCTAACACCTAAACTGTGTTTTATCAGGGTAGCTTCAAACCACTGTAAAGTCCATGAGGTGCAGGCTATCTGTATGACTTTGGGAGAAGCATGAAGCCCAACAGCTTTGTGGGAAAACAATCCACAGTCCTGTAGGGCTAGACTGTTCCTTCCCACCCCACACAGTCCCTTCCTCCATCTTCCTGATGCTAATCTAGGTGCCACAGCCCTGCTAGGTATGTAGAGCATCCATCAACAGCCTATCTGGCTCCATCATGGCAATCCCAGGTTGTGGTGACTCAACTGAGATCCATGCCTGGATGTTGTTCTGGCAGGCTACTGCCCAGGAGGGGCTGCTGCAACAGACAGACTGGTTCTGCCTTTGCTGCTCAAGGCTAAGGGGCCTCAGAGCCAGGACTGACTCCCATGGCTCTGTTCTGTGTCTCACCAATAAACACTCTGTGCTGGCCATGGTGGTGGTGACCTCTGATCTTCACTTCTTTTCCAGGTTTGACCTGACATGGGGGTTGTGAAGGAGCTGAGAGCACACAAGTCCCTCAGCTCTGGCCACAGCATGGGTACAGAACACACTCCTGCCCAACATGGGCATTAAGGGACATCACCCTTCACTGATTCCCACCACACAACCCATCCAAATGCACATGAGCACAGCCCTGAAGGTCAGGAAAGCTGTCTAGCACCACTTGGGACACAGGGTCAGAGCAGCACTGCTTATGGCTTCCTCTCAACAAGGTGCCATTTGATGTCTGCAGGGGTGTGTGACCCCACAAGGGCAATAAGGGCACCAGGCAGGAGCTTTAGTGGGGCTGGAAGTTCAAACCATAAGCCTTTATTGGTTGTCCAGATAGAGCAGGTAGAGCCAGAAAGGCAGCCCAGCCAGGCCAGGCTGCAGCAGAGCCCTGGGTTTGGCTGAGTATCAGCAGACAGAGCAGGGAGAGGGACTGGGAACTCAGGACACAGCAGGACCACGGACCATCCCTCAGCCTGAGCCCATGAGAGTCAGGTGGAGACCAGGCATACAGTTCCTATTTCCAGGAAAGCAAAAATGAAAGCAAAGTCTGAGAAATAAGAACTGCAAGAAATTGCATTGAAGCGCCTCACAACAGCAGTAAGTGAAAGCTGGGAGGTGAAGGGGGTGAGGAAAGAAAAAGCTCACAACACTCCTTGGCTTCCTGTTTTTCTCTTGCTCTGCTGAATTGGATGGTGCTGGTGACAGACACGGGACAGCCAGAAGGTGCAGCAGCCATTAGAACTGTGCCGAGGAGCTCATGCCACCACAGCTGCCTGCACACACAAGTGTCTGAGACAGGCTGGGGCACAGGGCAGTGCCTGCCACAGCCCAACCCTTATCTCAGCTGTGCTGAACCACAAATGTCCAGAGGTGCTTGTTGGTGCCCAAACCAGAGGAGCAATTCCTCAGCTTAAGGTGAGACCCCTCCAAGAAGATCTCTGCCCTGGGCAGGGTGACATGGCCATGGGTCCCTCAAAGGGCTGAGCCATGAGCCACCCAAAGGCAGGGATACCTGTCTTTGGAGATGGGAGCATTGCCTGAAGCCATGCCCTGCAGCTACATGGGGCTGGCAAGGAGGGCCATCTTGACCATGCCTGGCATCAGAGGTCAGGGGCAAAAGGGGAGACATGCCAGTGAAGAGGATGAGGAGATGTTTCTCCTTAGTGTCAGGCTCTCCTGGGAGATCTCTGCTCTCTTCCCAGCTGTCAAACAGTCCTATAGCCCTCTCTGTGTTGGTGGTCCAGGAAATAGCATTTTCCTACCTTTTAAATTATCCCCTTAAACTTTGCTGGGCAGACTTCCTTTTCCTGAAAGGGCAAAGAAGAGTCATGAGTAAGAGGCTGACACTGCCCACGGCTGTGCTGAACATGTCCCCTTCCTACACACCTGTTAAGTATGAAGCACAGGATCCCTGCAGCCAGGAGGAGAAACAGCAACAACACAACCACCACAATGGCCTCCCACGGGTAAGGAGGTGGCCCTGCAACTAACACAAAGGCAGGAGTGGGTACCACAGCCTGGACCACATGTTGGCAATTGCCCCAACAATGGCAAAGGGTGTGTACAAGTGTGCAGATGTGTGTCTTGGCTTAGGTTTCTTCTGAGATGGAGGAACAGGCCAGGTATGGGCATGTGGTGAAAAGCAGCTTCCCTCATCTCCCACTGCAGGCTTTGCACTGGAGAGGAGCCAGGCTGGTGCAGAAGGAGTAAGACCTTGCTTGGTGTGATGCCCTTCAGGGTGGGCCCTGTCTCCCTGACTGCCCCAGGCATGGCCAGAGCCTGGGGAGGTGTTTCCTCTTCCAGAGATGCACAAGCACCAGAGGAGCACCAGCACTAAGATGCACTATGAGAAGGCAACAGGGATGATGCAGTTTCCAGCTGCCACCTGTGCCACACCTGCCCAGGTGGCCTGAGGTTGCCAATGCCCACCCACCATAGGCAGCCTCAAGACCCAGAGAACTTCCACGACAATGGAAGTAGGACAACCAGAGCTCACTGCTCCTCTCCACAGACTGTGGCCGGGCTGGGGCAAGGGGAGATGCAGGAGAGCGTAGATCCAGCCGGGACCAGGCACTGACAGTATCCCCAGTGATGGCGCAGGGCACGTGCAAGCGTGCAGATGTGTGTCTTGGCTTGGGCTTCTCTTCCGGGATGAGAAGCAAGAGGTTTCCTCGTCTGGCCCCCCCGCCCCCTCCCCCAGCAAGAAGACCCCAGGGCTCCTGCACTCGGGCAGCTCCTCTCCAGGGCAGCACCGGGCTGGGGCAAGGGGAGATGCGGGAGAGGCTCAGGCACAGGCAGCCCAGGGCGCACTTACCCAGGGAGAAGCTGTAGCACACACAGGTGAACTGCTCCGCCTGTGGGAGGAGACGGGAGGGAGAGCTCAGGCCCCTCCT